TTGACAAGCACGTACCCTGCGATGACAGCCCCGCGCGTGCCACCTCAACCCCTGCCAGTAACGGCTACGGCAGGCTGACAGTGACGGTTATACCTCCCCTATTAGAGGCCAGCGGGCCGGATGCAACAGATTTCTGTTACAAGGAGCTCATTATCAAGGAAGAGAGGTATGATCTTCTACTCGCACGCTATATGCACTCTTAGCCTTCATTTTCTCCTTGCTTCTCCTACAGAATACTAACTTAAGCATCATAGTGTTCCCGCCGGGCAAGCCCCCGTGAGTTCTTCTTTTCTCCATCTCAGGTACCTTTCAGGAGCCACGCGAGTGCTATGTAGGAGTGACCGGATTGCGCACCATCAGTAAGTTTAAGCAGGTTTTAACGATTTATCATTTTTATTATATATACTAGCAAAGACCTTGGCAATGCACAAACTTTATTTATAAGCAAAATTGAGGATGAATCTCTATGACATTTCCAATTAAGCGGTGCTGATCTAAGTCCAATTCAAATATAATTTTTTGGGATATGTCTAGTTTATTCAATCACAATTTAAGTTGTGCTTTAGTGAGAGTGGCTAATTTACTATGCTCTAGATAAATTTATATTATCTTTTTATATCTCAAAGTTGATTTTTATTAATTTATTATTTTTTTAGGTCAAATTTAAAAAAAAATACTTCTCTTATATCTATAACCCGCCTTTGTATTTTGGTCATAACAAAGGCTTCCCCCAATAGTTTTAGAAAAAAAAATGCAAATACATCATTTTTCTTGGCTTTTTCAATAACAAAGACATCGAAATTACCAAAACACCCTTATCATTGTTAAGGTATTATCATACATAATTTAACGTTTCAACTCTACCCTCCAGTAAGTTATTTTGGCAAACAACTTTCAAAGGGGAATTACCCATACTCTTCTTGGATGGAGTAAGGTAAAAAACCAAAGCAAAGACTAGGGTTGTTCATAAGAAGGCCCAACCCGACCTAACCGACCCAACCCGAGTCAGCCGGGTTTTCATCAGCATCGGTCGGTTTCGGGTTGGGCAAATTCATAAACCGATATATCGGGTCAGTTTCGGTTTTCACACAAGAAAACTGAAATCGACCCGAATCGAACCGAACCAATTAGTCTTCTAGCTAGTTCCTACTTAACTAGTCTTCTAGAGTTCTAGTTCCTACTTAACTAAAATGTATTTAGATTATAATTTAGAAAGTTTCTTGAAATATAAATATTTCAGCCTTCTTTCTATAAAACAATTTGACTTTCTATTTTATTGATAACTTTTGTCTTACTGGACACTTGTTTTTACATGAAGAATTTATTGATTTTATTCTTTACCTTAATTGAATTCAGATTTATCTTGGACTTTTGAACAACAACTAATTCAGTTTTACATGAAGATTTATCTTGGACTCTGAATTGAATTCAGATGGCTGAAATGATGGTCAAATAAATTTCCTTCTAGTTCTAGGCTTCTTTGTCCTTTTTGTACATGAGCAAAATCGAAACTGACCCAACCCAACTCAAACCGACCAGGTTGGTTTTGCCTATCAGTGGGTCGGTTTCGGTTTCCACCTTAGGTATCCCGACCAAGTCGGGTCGGTTGGAAAAACCCTAGTAAACCGACCCGTGAATAACCCTAAGCAAAGTAAAAGGAGGCAATTTTTTCAAGGTATTTTAGTAAATTTACAAATGAATGAAGTTGGCTAAGGGTAAAATTGATTTTTTGAAAAAAAATAATGCTTACATCAGCATTTTTTATTTAGGAATTTCAACCAAATGATGGTATTTGCACCTTTTTTTTTTTCAAAATAATAGGGGAGATTTTTGTTAAGGTCAAAACACATGAGAGTTCATTTGTACCAAAATGTATCGTTTGGAAAGAGTACAAATACAAATATGTATGGTATAAATACATACAAAATTAGGTGTGACAATATTGACCCCAAGCCATTTGACCCACCCAACCCACCCACTCCTGAATCCACCCATACCCACCCATTCCAAAGATGGGTCATTATGGGTTCAACGACCAATTAGGGTCAAGGTGGGGTTGGGTCGAGGGTCCCAGTGGGTCATAAAGGGTTAGGGTCAGATGGGTGAAGGGAGGTTTAAAATCAATCGAATGAAGTTCCATTGTTCCAGGTCCACTGTTCCAACAGTCTCCATTTGGTAGTTGCCACTGTTAGGGTTTCTCCGTTATGCCATTACCAACGACATTTTTCATGCCATTATAGCGAGATGCAATGGTGGAGCTCATCACCTTTGTTCTTACTGCCTTTCCACCGCTAAGAGATCGAGCTTGTCGTCTCTGTTCTCTTTCTTCCACGCCCTCAAATGTTGACAAACCATTTTTATGTTCTTATTCCACCAATGACACTTGTAGCAGACCATGCCTGTCACAGATCCTTGGGGCATTTTCTATTCCGAGGGTTTGTTGCCGATGAATAACTTGAAGTAAATCCTTTGATCGATGGGGCTCTGGTAATGTAAAGGTTGGAGCTCTACCTCTGAGCTTACTGACGGATTCAAGTTTCTCTCCAGGAGGTCTGATCGATCGTAGCTGTTCTTGGTCTCTACAGCACTAGTTCATTTTTTTTTATTTTTTTATTTTTTTGTAATTGAACAGGTATGAAAATATATATGTTTTAATTTTTCCTTTAAAGTTTCTCTTTTAATTTGTTTTGATTATTTGATTGTTAGTTATTTCATTTACCATCTTCCTTTGAAATTCTTGCAAATTTTATAATTTTCCCTGGATTTTGTTTTTGCATTTTCATGCTTTTTATATAATTTAAGTGTTTTAATATTTTTTTTTTATTTTTTTTTGCAATTTATTCATTTCATATATTTTTTGTCCTTTATTTGTAGTTTTTGTGTTTTCTATAACGTTTGTTGGTTTTCATAATTTATTCCAATTTATTCCAATTCTGTTTTTCAATTTTTATATTTTTTTCTAAATATATTATTTTGCATTTTCTGCAATCTTCTATTTTTTTTACATTTTTTGTTTTAATGAGAAATGATACTTCCATTTAAAATATTTATAATTTATCTATAATTTATGATGTTTTACATGTATTATATTTATTATTTTCAATGTTTTTGTGCACTTTTTATTTTTGTATTTTAGGTCAAGGTGGGTTGTGACCCACTAGCATCAATAAATATGGGTAGTCAATGGGTAAGAGGGTTAATATGGGTGGGTTGGTACTCAATTCATACCCAACCCAACCCAACCCACCCATTTGCACTCTACATATGTGTATTTGTACTCCTTCCAAACTAAGCCATATATATATATTCATAGGTTTCTTAGAAAACCCAACAAGGTATTTATAATTTTTTATATTTTTAAATTGATTTTATATTAATTAAAACTATACTTAAAATTAACATTTTTTATTAACATTTGTTTTATTAATCCTTACTAAAATGAATTCACTATATTAAGTTTTTTACTTTTTTTAGTATAGCTTAAGTTGGCTTTAAATTAATTAATTAAACTTAAGTTGGTTTTTTCAGTGCAAAATTGCAAATACCTTACATCGAAGATCCTGGATCTAGAACATCCGAACATGATCTAACAATGACAAATAGAACTCCCAAATGCGCTCCATAAGTGCCCCACACCACATCCCAACTATGTATTAAAAACATATCCCAATGACAACTAGAGTTCGCATTAACACCCCACAGCCAACGCCCTACAGGTGCTCCACACAATGAAACTGGGACACCTGTCCTCCCGCACGAGCTCCATTTTTATGCATGCGGAGCTAACTTGTGCTATGTAACAGGGATCCCATTCCCGCTTGACCATCTTTATCGACTTGACTTTGGAGGATAACCCCTATTTACCATCCTTCCGTCTTCGATCGGAATCTACTGATTTTTCCGATGTGGGCGTTCGTTTCGACGGTCACACCGTCGGAAGGTAATCAACTCTCCGTCTTTCTCATCTTTGTCACACGTCCATTCCTGTATTCTTATTATTTTACCACATAGCTACAATCCTCTTTAATGCCGATTCTAAACCTCCTGGAGTCCCTGTACTTGTGCCAAGATTTATCCTTGTTCCGAAACCTCCAAGCCATGTCACACTTGTTTGGGCTTTAACCCGTTAACTGGTGTCTTGATAATCCAAGAACATAATTGACTTGAAGACCTTGAGATTGAATTTCGCAATTACAACCAAAACACACGGATCCAAACAATTCATAGCTTTGCCACAACTGGATGCAGGGGGTTGAGTTCTTTAGTTTTTCCTCGCTTTTCTCGATTACAACAATGGCGAGCGGTTCTTCAGCACAGGGGTTGAGTTCATTCGACCTTGCCGGTGGTGAAAAAAACCCTCCCTCATATGTTTTGTAGTGAAAGAAATAAAATAATAATACAGAAATGATTACCTTCCGATGGTGTGACCGCCGGAATGAATGCCGACATTAAAAAAATCAATAGATTTCGATCAGACACAAAAAGACGGTAAACAGGGATTCTCCTCCGAATTCAAGTAAAAAAGAGGGTCAAGCGAAAACGAAATCCCTGTTGAGTTTATATCTGCGCCCCAAAGGGAGCGCCCCACAGCACATCCCCACCTTGTATTGGAAACATCTCCCGATACAAGGTGGGGATGTGTTGTGGGGCATTGTGGGCGCCTCCTTTCGGGCGCATATGTGAACTCATCACCGTTAGCTTCGCACGCATAAAGATGAAGCTCGTGCGGAAGAACAGATGGCCCTATTCCATTGTGTGTGAAGCACTTGTGGGACGCTGATGCGAATTCTGACAATTACGAGAGATGTTCCGTTGGGATGTGTTGTGGGGCAATGTGGGGCGCAGATGTAAATTCTGACTGTCTGACAAATACGTCTAAAATCACGCATTCGCCCCATTGGTTTTGTCCGAACTTCGAACTTTGTTCTGGGCCAGAGGCCCAGGGTCGTCCTTAATAAATCCCAATTGCTAAAACCCTAGCAACGTTAGGAACGACTGAAAAAATATTATATATCAAGCTTAGCATATTGCACGATCTCATATCATTTTCATCGACCATTTAGCATTTCCACCAAGTAATCGTGAATTTTACAACGTTGATCTTTTAGAGACAGTTATAATTTGGTGAGACACGAAATACATAATCTACATATCCGTGCTTAAACCCTATGAAATACGAACTCCAGAAGAACATTCAGGGCTTCGCTTCCCGCTTTTCTGCAGTTCATGAGGAATCTAAGTAGGTTTTGAAGAACACAACAATGGCGGAGTTGGAAACAAAACCAGAAGGAAAACACAGAAAGAAGAAGAGAAAGCTAAGCAATACTGAAACGGATAAACGGGGTTCAGAAGCTTCTCGTCTGGAGAAAGAGAACGAATTGAATGAAGAAGGGCGAAAAGAATCGAATCTTAATACCAAACAAGGTGGATCGTGGAAGAACCTGGACTTGATTTTATTTCTTCAAAACAAAGAACTCGAGGTTCAAAGGTCGGTAATCATCTATGCACTTCTGTTATTCTATGTTTAACTTTGCGACCTTTCGACAAGTCCCCCCCACCCACACACGCACACACATTTTTTTTTTTTATGGGTAAATAAAGGTTAATTTTCATGTAGGAAAGTAGAATTTGCTTTCCAGTTCGTCAATTCAAGAATCAATAGTCAAGGGGATGGCGCCAACGGTTGTTCCGAAATGGTGAGCATTTCACGCCTAATTGTGTTCCTTAGCGAATGGATTCAGTCAGTATTGATTTCTTCAGACAAGAAAATTATGGTTGAGGGGAAGAAACCTCATTCTGGAGTCATGGAAGCTTGTTTGGATTCCAGATGTTGGGTCATTTTCAAGTTCTGCTTGGAGGAATCTGCAAAGTTGCACATATCCCTGAGTTTCTTACCGAATTTGTTGGGGGCAATTTCTTGCGTTGCAGTGGATGCGTTGTCAGTAGTTCGTGACATGGCACAACAAGAAAAGGAATTGGTTTTTATTGGTGAAGGCTTTGAACTATATAGTCTTGTTGCAGATTGCGTTTCCTTGCTATTCTCCTCCTGTGGCAGGGTTTTCCATGCCAGTATAGAGCCGTGGCCTTCAATTGTTATGTCAATGATTGATATTGTTCAAGAGATCTACTCCAGAAAACTTGCTAGTAGCAATGTGGGCTTTATTCTACTTCGCCTCTCATGCTTGGTGCTGGACCTTTTCACCAGCTTTTTGAGTGTTAGAGTCCTCCCAAATCCAAAAAATGTTTTCCGTGTCTTCATCAAAAGACTTCTAGAGCCACTAATGAGTTTGTTCGTAATGTTAGATCTTCAGACTGATGACACTAATTCTGTATGGACAGGAAACCTATTGAAGATTGTCAAAGATATATTGTCCAATGGATTATTCCATGCGGCCCACATGGATGGCTTTCTTAGCACACGGAGTACGGAGAACTATATAGAGTCGCATAGCATAAAAATAAAAGCTATGGAAAAGAAAGACATGAAAGCCGTTGCAAGAAGCTATCACAGACATTTTTTTGAGAAACTTGAAACTATTATGGCTGAGAAGAAGATGTCGGCATTGGGTGGCCTTGGAGAGCTGTTTCACTTGATTGTCATAAGAGTAAAGAAGCAAAAAGGAGTCTCAGTGTTTTCTGAAGGTAGTAATGACACGATAGGCATAACAGGGGTTCCAAGACATTTAGAAGGTTATAATAAGGACTTTAGATCCAGAAATTCTGTTGGGAGTAGTAATACAGTCATAGCGAAGACAAATCTTTCAAGTAGGTTGGATGCAGAAACAAGTAAATCGCTATTTGACCTCTTTGTACGGTTCATGGAACCTTTGGTGCTTGATCTTGAAAGGCATTCTAAAAATACTTTGGAAGCAGGCCCCATGTTGCTAGATGCCTACTGCACCCTCAGATCAGCCAATAAGATACTTTATGTCTTTATGCATGAAAGAGTGTATGTCCGAACAGAGGATACATCTGAAGGAGCATGTCTTAACTTCTTGAAGGAGGTCTACAGTACAATTATATCGTTTTCTGCCCAAATTCATCAATTCTGGTTGGAATCAAAGATATATGAGGGAAGAGATATGGAGATGCCAATTTTAATAGCAAAGGAGATTATTTCTGTTCTTTCATATTTGTTGGAAATTGAATATGAGGTTACTGGTAATGATCTTGTAAGCTTATGGCTTATGATGCTTTCCTTCTCAGCTATTGAGCTATCTTTAATAGATACACCATATCAATGTGGATTAATTTCGGATATTCAACACTTTGGATGCCAGTTGATTCATATTTACAGTGAGCTTCGGCAGGTTAGTGATCTTTCCGATTTTATTGCATAGCAATTACTATACATAATTTCATCTGGTAGAGTAGGATACTCCCAAATATTATATTTTTCATATCGTGCTTCTTTATTCTTTTCTATATACTAGTTTTCTTTTTGTTCCTTACCTTTTCTTTTCAATAATATTTCTTATGAAGTCATTTCATTTTCCTCCAATTAGGTCCTTTTCAATATCTTTCTCTTTATCCTTTTTTGTCCTTTAGATGGTCAATTTACTTTGCTTTGGTGGCAAACTGGTTGATAATAGTTTTATTGAAAAGTTGGTCTATAACTTTGATTTAAGATATCCAGTGATTGCAGGGAATGTTAGGATGTAGGTGGGGACTGAAGCATAAAGGCAGTCAAGAAAGAGTCCTGCCCTAAATAGGAGTTGTTCTCTTTTCTGTTGTAAATAAAATGAGGCAGTTTGCTACTAGTCCGCATAAGCAATTTATGAAAATTTGTCCTTTAGGCTCACTTTAGAAAGAGTACAAATACAAATACATACAAAATTAATATAAAATACAAGGTTTTGCACTCTACGCATTTGTATTTGTACTCCTTCCAAACTGAGTATTAGTTTCTTTCTTTCTTTTTTTTTTTTTTAAACTTTATATGTTAATGTAAATGGTTAACATTTTTCCAGATGCCCAAAGCACCAATCAACTAGACAATTACAACTAGAGAACTAGTATGAAAATTATTAGACAGTGAAAGGTTTCTAAACGCTCCAAAATCTCAGAAGACACAATGCATCCAAAGAAATTGCATCAAAATGCAAGAAAACATATCAAAGCGAAGAAGGAAAGTCAGAAGACTAAAGATAAATTTAAGGAATGAAATCAACAAATAAGGCTTGAAGTACACTCATGATAAGAAATTGAAGAGGTGATCAAATTTAAGCAGGGGCAGTCTCTTCAATTTAGCCTTACATTGATGATCTACTTTTGAACACATTGAAGGGGCTAGAAGAGCTAGGGGCAAGCCAAAAGGAACTTAGGTGGAAGTAATAAGAGATGATTTAAGTGCCTATAATTTAACGATGGATACAGAATGGAATGGTAAAACAAGATTCATGTAGCCGACCCCATATAGTTGGGACAAGGCTTAGAGTCTAATATCCAATCCCATATGGTAAAACAGGACTCGTGTAGCCAACCCCATGATGATGATGATGGTCCATGATATTCTGAGCTTCATAGTCTACTTGGTGGTCAAAGCTTGTTGTTTGGTAGAAATATATGCAAGTAGAACCTAGAGAAAAGGAAAACTTAGACCATAGATTTTATAGGGGGAATAAGAATTGCATTGCAATAGGGGGTAAATCTGAACTCCCTTAAAAGAAAAAGAACAAAGACTGCATGACAAGAAATTTGATGGTAAAACTTAATATGATGGAAGCAGTTTGGGGAACCCTGGAATGTCAGGAATTGGGGGAGTACAGGTTATTGGAAGTATGGATATATGACCACAATGGTTGGATAGATGGCTGCAATCTCGAAGAAAAGTTATAAGATCTGCCCAGTGATTTAAAAGGTGCGCCTGAGGCGCACAGGCGAGGCACATTTTAGGGTATGCGCCTCACTCAGGTCCTAGGTGCACCCCTTCGCCTTGCACCTTAGCCTAGGCATGTGCCTTTTTAAAATTTTGTGCTTTTTGCTTTTTTTTTGAGTCTAACGGCTGGGACGGGGGCTTCGAGAACCCCCTATTTGCTAATGTTGTTCATTCATTCATTGCAATAAAATATCTTCTTAAAAGGCAATGAAAGTTATAAAATCATTATTCTTTACATGAGAAATAAGAATTTCAGACCCTAACATAGACTTGTTCGGGCTTGCCTCGAGGGGCGTGGTACAAAGGCGACTCATAGAATCAAGAGTGCAATATGTTTTACATCACATTAGCTACTTGAAGCAATGCAATTAAGGAGAAAAAGAGATTGTGGATTTTACATGCTTGAAAATGCTTTATATGTTTGCTTTTATTTTTAAATTTTCACATGAATATGCTTTACATGTTATGTTTATGTATTTTAGTTTTAGATAATAGGTTTTTTTAAACATTTGTTTTAAAATTTAAGTTTATATTTTTATTAACATTGCGTTTAATATTTTTGATTTTTTTTGGCATTTTTTTTTGAATTTTCTGATTTTTTTTTTGATTTTTTAGCTTCTTTTTTGTAATTTTGAGCCATGCTTAAAAAGGCGTGTGCCTCGCCTTGTGCCTCAGGTGCAAATTGGCCCTTGCTTGGCAGATAGGTTAGCTAGAAAAGAGGTAAATATAAATCAATCATACTGAGGAATGATTCTCCAAGGTGGAAGTTTGTAAGATAAAATCAGTGGGGAGGCTTGTGGGGACTAGGTCTTCATTAGAGGTGCATGGCACAAAATTGTATATCATTTTATAAAACTATACCGTTGCAGATAAAAAATACTTAATCGTACATAAGAATGATGTGAATAAACATGTAAGGACTTATTGTAGTTGGCCTAGTTTTCACTCCAGGATGAGAAACATAAAATGATGTGAATAAACATGTAAGGACTTATTGTAGTTGGCCTAGTTTTCACTCCAGGATGAGAAACATAAAGTTTTATGTATTAGCCCTTGCAAGAAGTAGAAATAAGAAGATTAGGAAAGTAAAAAATAGAAAAAAGGTTGAGAAGGATATGGTGTGGGACAGACCACATGCTTTAAAGCTATCCTCCTTGGTTAAATTACACTTCTAGGAGCAAGTACTCTATGTTAGTTAGTTATGTTAAGGTGGTGCGTTAAATCCAAACGGCAGAAACAGAAGGGAGAGCATGAACATAAAACCACATGAGCTCTCCTATTTCTATTAGATAGGTGGCTAGTTTTGTATGGCTGTTGAATATCGACTAAAAAATATGTATGGCTTTTTGTTTTTATTTAAAAAAGCTAAAATATGTCTACTCATTAATTAAAAGATCCTTGTACACCAAAGGTCTGTACAAAAGATATGTATCCAGCATTCGGACACAGAATATACAACCATAATAGCCCTATAGTTTAGGACTTACAAAAAGAATCTTCTGTCAAAAAGAAAAAAAAAGGCTGTGGTTGGTCTAATTTCCTATAATTTACTGTTAATGCAGGTTAATGTGCTGGGTTAAGTCAAAATGGTAGAAATAAAGGGAGAATATGGACATAAAAACCATAAGAACTCTTCCATTATTAGATAGGTGGGTAATTTTTTTACAACTTTTGAAAAAGCAAAAAGAAAAAAGTGCTTTGATTTGGTCTGTTTTTCTTATAATTTGATGCTTATGCAGGTTCATGTCCCCCTTTTTGCATTATGTAAAGCAGTGAGAGTCTGGGGAAACAGTAGGAACGACGGTTTTTCAAGATTTGTCTTCTTCCCCACACTTTCTTTGCCCTCTGAAACATGTGTGGAATCGGTGGTAATGCTAGTATGCTCACAAAACTTTAGGATTTCCATTTCTAATGCTGTCAAATCTACACCGGAAGGGCAAGTCAGTGGATGCATTAAGCAGTTACAAACGGATATTTCAGAATCATTGGAATTGATTAAAGTTTGTATTTTGAGGGCTAGTGGACAGGAATCTGGAGAGTCAGAAATGCCAAGTTGCAGCATGTCTCTGCATCCACACACTGAACTTTTAGGAGGGGTTTTGTCTGAAATATACACACTTGTATTAGATTCTTCCACTGTCACCATGGGGAATAGTATTCTTGTTGGTAGCTCTGTAAAAGACATAATGACTATAATACGTCCAACCTTATCTTATTTAGCTGGAGAGCAGCCAGTTAGTGTGCATGAGTTCCTTTTTTCTGTTACGGGGAAAACATTTTCCAATGATGAGATGCACCAATGCAGAAATGATTTGCCAACATTGCCCTACAGTGTTTCCTGGATATTATTGTTTTCCTTTCGCTTGTATATTTCATGTCGAAGCTTGTTCAAGCAAACAATTAGTCTCATGCCTCCAAATTCCTCAAAAAAGATGTCAGCCACAATGGGGGATTTATTTACAGCATGTTGTGGAAAGGATTGGATAGACAGGAATGACTGGATGGACGAAGGCTATTTTTCTTGTGTTATTAAATCTTCAACTTCTCTTCTGACTATTATACAATCTGTTTCAGATGTTTTCCTTCAGGAAAGTGGCATTGGATGTGCACCTCTTATTTATGTAATGCATGCCATGTCTTTCCAGAGGCTTGTTGATTTGAATAGGCAGATAAAAGCTGTTGAGTTCCTGCAGGAGAGGGCTGCAAAGTTAGAAAAAACGAAGTCAATGGATGATGATGGCTCATGTCTGTCACTAAAAGAAAGCAAAAAATGGAAAAGGTGCATCTCTGTTCTTAGGGAAGAGTCAGCTGGTCTTACTAGTTTCCTGATGAGCTACCTCTCATTAATTGCGAAAAAGGTGTCTTTCTCCCCAAGTAAATATGTAACTTGTGAATCAAAAGAAGCAGAGGGTATGTGGGAAGATAATGAATGGGATCTTTGTGTCTCTTCTGTAAACGAAAAGTCATTGCCTACTGCAATTTGGTGGATTCTTTGCCAAAATACTGATATCTGGTGCATTCATGCTTCTAAGAAGAAGACGAAGAAGTTCTTGTTGCTTTTGTTCTATAACTTTTTGTCATCTGTAAGAAGTAATTCAACGGATATTGAAAAGCAGAATATGGACAAAACTCTTCATCCCAGGACAGTCACCATGCAGCAAATCTCTCTTAAACTTCTCAGAGATAATGTTCTCTATGAACAAACAGTAAGATCATATTTCTGAAATCTTCCCATCTGTATGCACACAAACCCAATGTCTGTGTATGCTTAAGTTATTTTTTTTCTTGGTAGCACCCCCAAGGAAAATCTGAGATATGACCTTACCACTTATGTGGCAGCTTGATAGGGTCAATTTGTTTGCACATATGATTTAATGAGACATTTTAGTCACCCCTCATCACATGGCAGAAAACCCCTCTTTGATGGGCATCTCTATTCAAGAGATTTTAAATGCTCACATGGACTGAGGTACTATACACATTTCAGAAGGTTGCCCAGTAGATGGACAGTATGGTTGGCCATACCGGCCTTCCATGTGGCTGGGGGTTGGGTTTTGGACCTGTCCTGTCGTTTCTGAAATACTCTTCTTTCTTATTTTTTGCTTTTGCTGTCATGAGTGTTATTGTGAAATCACTGCATTACATATTTCTGTTTTTTCTTGTTCTAGATTCTTTGCAGGCATCTAACATCAAGATTTTGCCGCACTCTAGAGAAGTCAATATCACCATTCTTAATCTGCACTTCCTTCAAGTCTTTTGATTTTAATTTGCCACCTGATTGGGGCACAGATGTGTCTATGCTCGAGAACTTAAATAGCACACATGGTATGCATGATGGTTCCTCATTATCTGAACCAGATTCCTTTCAATCTTGTTTGTCTATAGAACACCACAATGGGGAAAAAGCCTCTTCTTTAACTAGCATGGAACTTACAGCTTGCCAAAATTTGCTTGATCTCTTATGCTGGATGCCAAAATGTCATGCAAATTCAAGATCCTTATTGATATACGCAACCTATATTCTCAACCTCGAAAAGTAAGTTTATTTTGTGTAGTCTTGTTATTCCCAGTTGTTCTGCTCAGACACATTATGGTGTTATGCTTTATATTTGTATCATTTTGTTGTCCTTATAAGAGATGTGGATATTTTTTGTTCCTTGACCTCTTTTTGGATGAGTAACAAACAATATTTTGTTAATTTATTAGTATAGAAATTTACACAGGGGGCATGAAAGCAAGAAACAATCTTTACAGTATACTACTCTCTATATTCAAAGCAGTGTACCTATTTTTTTGAAGGTAAATAAAAAAGAAAATTTCAAAAATCAGTGTACCTTTGGGAGCAGTCAGGGCAATCCAGGGCGCTCTGGAATGGGAGGGGTCTTGAGAAATGAGGCTGGAGATATTGTACTTCTCTATTCAGGTCCTTTGGGATTTGGGGATTCAGTCAGAGCAGAACTATTAGCAGCCATACAAGGAATGCAACTTGCAAATCAATTAGGAGTAGGACAGCTTGTTATGGAAGGGGACTCCAAGGTGGTGGTGGGGTGGTTGCAGAACCCTGAGGAAACTATATGGTGCTACAGAAATGAAGTAAAAAAATTTTAGTGGATGACAAGGAATATCTGTTAATACACAATGGGTGGGGAGATCAGCAAATGCTTGTTTTTTTGTAATCAGTTGAGAGAGGCTGCAACTCGCGCCTCTCCACGGGTTGTTGTATGAGTTCTCCATTATCTTTTGAAGTAATAAAACTATCTTTATTAGAATTATAAAAAAAAAAACTATATTAGAAAGAGTAAGGAACTGAATGTACAGAAGTTAATTATTGAAGGGGACTCAAAGTTGGTGTTAAGCTGGTTATAGAGGGGAAACTGTCTTTGGAAGTTTGCTAATGAAAGAAGGGAAATCAAATGGCTAACTAGGGGGATGGACATCCAATTTCAGTGGGTGAAAAGAACAGCAAATGCGTTTGTAGATGCTTTGGCAAAGCAGGGGGTGGGAAGGGATCAATTGTACTGGGCAATATTGTGAGCTCTTATGTTGCTCTCTTGGAGAGAGTTGGATTGATGTACCTATTTTTTTATGAATCTGATGAAATTCTGTTATTGATAAACAAACTATCTTTATTCATAAAAAAAACAGTATACCTTTTAAAGACAAATTCTTACTGTTTTTTTCTCCTTCAAGACAAATTTATACTGTTAAAGGAAAACTGATAAAACTCAGATTAGATGTTCGTATATGTTCAGATCAGAAGAAAGAGAAGGAAAAGAGAGAGAGAAAGAGAAGGAGAAAAATCTCAAAACCTCTAGTCGGCCCTTCTTTTATTTATACTCTTCTAAGATATACTAGGATTACCATTGTGCCCTCACTTAAGTGAGGGCCACATCAGCAGAGCAATACATATATAACTAAACATAAAAGGACTGTACTACCCTTGTACAGCCGACTCTAATACTCCCCCTCAAGCCGGTGAGTATATGTCATATAGTCCCAACTTGTTGTATATGTAGTCCACTCTTCCCCGATTCAACCCTTTGGTAAACAGATCTGCCCATTGATTTCCTGTGTTCACATATGCTGTACTTATCACTCCACTAAGCACCTTCTCACGTACAAAGTGGCAATCCACTTCTATGTGCTTCGTCTTTTCGTGAAACACTGGATTAGAGGAGATATGAATTGCAACTTGGTTATCACAGTATAGCTTTATAGGAGTGTCAATCGAGTATCCCATCTCCTCTAGTAGATGCTTCAACCACACCAGTTCGCATGTTGTGTGAGCCATAGCCCTATATTCAGCCTCTGCACTGCTTCTTGCTACCACTATCTGCTTCTTACTTTTCCATGTCACTAAGTTCCCACCAAGAAAAGTGCAATACCCTGTAGTGGACCTTCTGTCAGATATGGACCCGGCCCAATCAGCATCCGTGTATCCCTCTATCTCAAGACTTCCTCCATTCTTATACAACAAACCACGACCTGGAGCACCCTTCAAATACCTCACAATCCTTAGGACTGCCTCCCAGTGTGGGATTCTTAGATTCTGCATAAATTGACTCACTACACTGACTGCAAATGAGATATCAGGTCGAGTGATGGTTAGGTAATTAAGCTTACCCACCAGCCTTCTGTACCTTCTCAGATCCTCAAACTCCTCACCTGTATCACTACCCAATCTAGCATTCAGTTCCATAGGTTTTTCAGCTGGTCTGGCACCCAACAACCCTGTTTCCTCTAGCAAATCAAGAACATATTTCCTCTGGCACAAATTAATACCATTCTTGGTTGCAACCTTTATCCCTAGGAAGTATCTTAATTTTCCAAGATCCTTTGTCTGGAAGTGATCATGCAAGTAAGTCTTCAACTTGTCAATTCCTGGTCTGTCACTGCCTGTGATAACAACGTCATCTACATATACCACCAAGAGAATCTTCCCAGCATTTGATTCATAGCTGAATATGGAATGATCAACCTGACACTGTTTCATTTCAAACTTCTTCACCACTTCACTAAATCTTCCAAACCATGCACAAGGAGATTGCTTAAGTCCATAAATAACCTTCTTAAGTCTACAGACCTTCTCACCCTCCCCCTGAGCAACAAACCCTGGTGGTTGCTCCATGTACACCTCCTCAAGAAGATCACCAAGTAAAAAGGCATTCTTGATGTCAAGTCGAAACAAGGGCCAATCAAACATAGCAGCAAGAGAAATTAGAACACGAACTGACCCAATTTTGGCAACCGGAGAGGTGTCTATGTAATCAATACCATACTGCTGTGAATAACCTTTGGCAACTAACCGAGCTTTCAACCGTTCAACACTTCCATCAGGTAAGTATTTAACCGTGTACACCCACTTACAACCAACCACATGCTTACCAGGAGAAAGAGTAGTGAGGTCCCACGTATGAGTACGAGTCGGGGCCGAGAGTTCTTCTTCCATTGCTTGGCACCACCCTGGAGAATTGAGGGCTTCTTGGACATCCTTGGGAACAGAGACAGAGGGTAACATAGAAACAATTTGTCGATGGGAAGCCGAAATGTGAGATACATAAACAAAATTGGAAATGGGATGGAGTTCTGCAAAGCAATAGGAAGATCAAGGTTAGAACTTGGAGTTGGGGCTGGGGTGGGATCAACTGCCGGATCTGTCGACGGTGATGAAGCTAGGGGAGGACCGATGCCTGACAATGTGTATACACTTGCCAAATAGGTGGTCCTCTCTCAGGTAGCTGCATTGGAGGCAAAGACTGGGTCACGACTGGAACAAGAGAAACGGGATCCTCAACAGGAATTGGAAGAGGGGGTGATGGCAACAGAGGAGAAGAAGTATCCGACCTAGAGAAGAAAGGAACAAACTAAAAAAATGTAACATCAGAACACACAAAAGAACGCCGAGAACGGGGGTTATAATACTTATACCCTTTTTGAGTCCTAGAATAGCCAAGAAAGACACACTTAGTGGATCTAGCATCCAACTTGTCCATTCCAGGCCCATGATAATGAATGAAACACATGCATCCAAAAACTCTGGGAGTAAGGGGAAAATGAGACAACGTGGGAAACAGAATAGAGAAAGGGGACTGACCTTCAAGGATAGACATGGGCATGCGGTTAATAAGAAAGCAAGATGTGAGTACAACATCACTCCAAAAGGGTTTGGGGACATTCATCTGATGTAAGAGGGACCGAGTAGTTTCCAAAAGGTGACGGTTTTTTCTTTTAGCCACCCCATTTTCTTGAGGGGTGTAGGTACATGAGGTTTGATGGATAATGCCATGTTGTTCCAAATATTCTTGTAAGTGTGTGGAAAAATACTCGCGACCATTATCAGAACGAAGAATTCTAATATTTACACCAAATTGATTGCGAATTTCAGTATAAATTTTTTGGAAGATAGAAAACAATTCACTCTTTTCTTTCATAAGGTAAAGCCATGCCATCCTTGAATAATCATCAACAAAGATTACAAAGTACTTGTAACCATTATAAGACACTACTCTGTTTGGACCCCAGGTGTCCGAATGGACTAAGAAAAAGGACTCGATGTACGACTATCAACTCTAGGACTAAAGGAGACACGATGATGTTTCCTAAACTGACACGACTCACAATTTAAATTGGAAAGACGACGCAACGACGAAACAAGTAACTGAAGAGCTCTAAGAGATGGATGACCAAGTCTGTAGTGCCACTGATGAATGGAGAGATGACTGAAGAGCTGTTGCCGAACCACCTCCATCAAGATAATACAGTCCACCAGTTTCATGCCCTCCACCAATCTTCATCCCCGTCTTGAAATCCTGAAACACACGAGAAAGGGTAAAAAGTTATTGAGCAATTAAGAGACTGAGTCAATTTACTAACAGACATTAGGTTAAAGGGAAATTTGTGAACATATAAAACTGAGGAGAGGGATAATGGGTCAATGTCAACATTACCAACACCACATATGGCTGATGTAGAACCATTGGCAAGAGTAACAGATTGGGAAGTGGAAGACGGAGAAATGGATGAAAACACACATGGAGTTCCAGTCATATTATTGGAAGCTCCAGAATCTATAATCCAACGGGAAGATGTGGATGCCAGACAAGCCGTACCTGTGTGTGCAAGGGTAGCTGTGTTCTGTTGAGATGTACCCTGAATGAACCGCTCATACTCATCCCGTGAAACACTCACCATCTCCTTTCTGAAAGTATTTGTAGATGTAGTGGGGATCTAATTAGTGACTTGAGATTCTTGTCTTGAGCTACCACCATTTACAACTGCATGATTCGCCCAGGTTGAAGGTGGGCCATGGAGATCGTAGCAAAAGTTGATAGTATTGTCCCTCCATACCGCAATGAGTACACCTTCTCTGAGTATTACCACGTCCCCTACCACGGGCTCCCCCTGAGTCTCGTCCTCCAACACGACCACCACCACGACCATACATGGGTCCCCCACCACTACCACGACCATACATGGGTCCCCCACCACTACCACGACCATGCTGACCTCCTCTACCACCACGACCTCCCCCTCTCG